AACAGGATGGCATTTTTAGAAGTCAGTCTGTTGTTCCCTTCACTAGATATCTTCACATGATAATGTAGTTCTTAGTTTAAATATGTTGAAAATACATACAAATAAGTAGCAACATAGACTCACACATTTGCAAACATTTAAAATCAAAACAGAAAAACAGTCATCATCTGTTCCTTTCTCATTATACCTTAATTTGGTATGCAAATTGCACGGCTTCTACCCATACCTAAATTTTACATGGCAATTTGCTAATCCAGTTTATGTAATGTGGTGCAGACACAGACATTTATAAATGAAAATATAATAAGATCTTATTATGATTCCTGATATTTTATTAGCAGTAATTGAGTGTGATAATTTTCCAAGATAAGCAACCATTTTGATATATATATATATACATATATACTATTTGACAGGTAGAGTCATAGACAGTGAAAGAGAGAGACAGAGAGAAAGGTCTTCCTTATGTTGGTTCACTCCCCAAATGGCTGCTATGGCCAGAGCTGCGCCGATCTGAAGCCAGGAGCCAGGTGCTTCCTCCTGGTCTCCCATGCAGGTGCAGGGACCAAGCACTTGGGCCATCCTCCACTGCCTTTTTGGGCCACAGCAGAGAGCTGGACTGGAAGAGGAGCAGCCGGGACAGGATCCAGTGCCCCAACCGGGACAAGAACCCGGGGAGCCGGCACCGCAGGCGGAGGATTAGTCAAGTGAGCCATGGCGCCAGCCCTTAAATCTCATTCTTGTGCTGTGTGCATTGACATTCATTAGGACTCAAGTATTTCACCCATTTAAAAACAACATTGCAACTTTTGTTTAATTTCCAATTGTTGTAGGTATACAATTTTGATCTATTTGAAATTGTAAAACTATCCTACTTGACAGATTAATATTTTTAGTATACAGTGTTTTTAATTTGGAGAGAAATACCATCTGGAGATACCATTTGGAGATAAATACCAGGCACCCACATGGGATGCTGGCGCCACAGGCGGAGGATTAACAAAGTGAGCCACAGCGCCGGCCCCTGTGTTTTTTGATATATAGTATATGGAAAGTCTCAGCTCCATCCACCAGGATGTAAGCTGAACAAAATCAAGATTAAGGTAACAGAACTGGTTCAAATCAGTTAAATCCAAAATGGTATCCAGATTATGCACTACCTTTCCTCCAGTCCCATTAGACCCTCACTGTGACGCATTAACAGAGTAAAAACCTCTCCCCCTCCTGCCATCACAGGTTACAATTACCATGACAACCTACAGAAATGACCACAAAAGGGGAGAAAAAGAGGTGGAGCCTTAGTTCTGGAAGTTGCCCCCCCCTTTCCAGAAATACAATGACTACTCAACCCAGATAATAACTTACCTTTCCGGACCCCATAAACTTCATTTGTAAAGAGATTGCCACACTAAGAAGAGAGCTACTGCCAGAGGTAACTTGCCCTACAAAGCTTCTTGCTTGACTAACGAGACAACTCTACTGCTCATTTCCTGCCTTCCTTTTCCCAAACTTGATTTTCCCACTCAGAGGACCCACACCTTTTCCTTTTCTTAGTCCAAGACTATCTAGAAACCTCAGTCATGTGGCCACCGCCTTGAAGGACATTCTTTGTGAACTCTTGTGTGTGCATATATACCTAAAACTCATTTTTCTTATTATCTGTCTCATATTACATGTGATTTGTAAGCCATAACCACTGAAGTAGAGGAAAACATTTTTAACCTTCTCTATATGAAATATAGTCAGAGTCTCAGTTCTTCCTGCTAAATTGATCACAAAGCATGTGAGTGTGCCACATGCCTCAACTTGGCCAAGGAAGTGGTAATAGTAAGGAACTGTCTCTATAAGTGGTTGGAGGAGTTGCTGTAGAACCCCCAGACTGGAGATGTCTGCCCCACATGCAGAAAGCCAAATCACTGGCATTGAGATGCTGGGAGAAAGGAGGTACTTATTGCAATGTTCAGAACTAGGAGCCAGGCTGCTGTAGCTCAAGTCGCAGGCTCCTTGTGGGGAGAAGGACAAAGCTTCTTATAGATTTAAGTTGGGTCTTGAGAATGGATGTTCAGCTCATACCTAAGTTTCTGGTTGGTCTGCAGTGTTTGGGCTTTAGCCATTCCGAGGACAACATGCAGATGGTAATTACTTCCTGCCACAGGCCTGGAATTTCCCTGAGAAGATACCCTTTGAGACCATACCAGCCATCAAGTTGGTAATTATTGGAGAAAAAAATGACCACATGAGACCAGTGATGGCTGTAGTACTCCCTCAATTCAGTAAGTTAAATTTAGTAAGAGGCCAACTTGCAATAAAAAAAGGTTAAAACAACAACAACAACACACATGCACACACAACACAGGACAAAGACACCTTACACTAAGGGAGAGAGGCTGAGAGGCAGGGGCCTGGTGGTATCCAACATTTGCATTCAAGGCCATGTATAGGGGTTCAGTTTCACTAACAGGTCAATGTAATGTTTGACGTAGCTTGACTGCCAGTGTGAGATAGTAATAGGAAATACATATATCTTGGTCTCTGGTTCCAGCCCTGAGCACAGATCACCTAACACCTTTGTAGTTTTCTCAGTGATAGGGGTGCTAGAAGAATCTTTGATCCCAATATTTATTCTGGCCCAATCTCCTGAGTCACAATTCCTAATACCCTACTAGATGGGGGCACTAGGAAAATTACTTTGCTGTAATACTTGGCCTTTGACCCCAGTTCTTGACCCAAATTCCTTTGGAATTTACTGGACACCTTTTTTTTTTTTTTTTCCCTAATGAAACAACTCATAGTGGGCTCTTGACTAAGGTCTGGTCACCAGAATGAGATAACCATGATTATAAAAGTAGGTCATTCAGTTCTCCCTCTCCTATTCTCCAGAGAGGGAAGAGACACTGGAAATAAATAAAACCTCCATAAAGTTCTCCAAATTTAAGGGTTCAGAGAGCTTCCCAATTGTCAAACATATCCTTGTGCTGGGACAATGGTCATCTCAACTTCACAAAGACAGAAATTTCTGTGCTTAGGACTTTTCTAGACCTCACATTGTGTAGCTTATCTGGCTTTTTTATTCTTTCTTACCTTCCCTATCATTCAACTGCTACATGTAAACAAAGTGTTTCCCTGATCTCTGTGATTGATAGAAAATGAATTGAACTCAAGGGGAAGGAAGAAAGACCCCTGATGTAGCTGGTTGGTCAGAGTATAGCTGATGATCTATTACTTATGATTGGCATCTGAAATGGGGAGGGAGCGGTCTTGTGGAACTGAACCTTCAACCTTTGGGATCTGACTCTGTCTTGAGTGTTGGAATTAAGAGGAGTTATAGAGTGGAAGTATCACTATGTATTTCATATCACTATGAACTACATGAAATTTGTTCAACTTATATAAATTTAAAAAAGAGGAGTTATGATGTTCAGAATTTAAGAGGTTCATGTTCTTATCTCTGACATACGAAAGAACTCAAGGACAAGACATAGATAAAGCTTAGCAGAGGAATTAGATTTACTAGCAAAGTGAAAGTACACACTTAGGAGGGAGTAAACCCTTTCAGGAATGGACAAACATTTCCAGGAATTTGGTGACTGGACATTTTCTGGCCTTTATAAGAAGTCTTGGAATTTTCATGGCATCAGGAGCACAATGGGAGTGGGAGTGTCAGCCATGGTAATTTTATTATAATGGAATTATAATAGGCTATAAGTTGTCAGTGCGACACAGTAAATAGCCATGTTGATATTTTTGGCTGGTGCTATTTCTGGGCAGCAACTTTGCTATAATAGCAATTTCAAGTTGCCATTCATGGGATGAGTTTGAGCGGCAACCCTAGCAGGAATGGTATTTCCTCCACCTCTTTCTTGGATACATATCTGTCTCTATAGCTATAGCAATAGGACTCCCAGCAGGCATTTTCTAGAAAATTATTGGGAACTGGGGAAGTGCTTTTCCACATCAGATGTCGGAAGTGTTATTTTAAATGGTGAGTCAGATGGAAAAAACATTTTGTTTTTTCTTATATTTCAGAGCCAAAAAAGGCACCTTTTCAACAATAAGAATTTAGTCTGATGTTTAAACTGTGGCTTTAGGCATCTGCCTTATGGCTTCTTTTTGCTTCTGTATTTTATTCTGTAAAATGGATATATTAATACTGTCTTTGTAAAATTGTGACAAAAAAGTTAGATAATAATATATTCAATATGGTTAATACTGTTTCCAGTCAATGACAATCACTAATTGATATTTAGTTTATATTAGGACTATAATTAACTTTTATATTTTAGGCTTTATAGAGACCTTCCATAGATTTATATAAACCCCAACAAAATTAACTTATTTGTACAATGACTATTGCTTTCTTATCTCAAGGCTTGTTGTTAGAGAAGGAGCTATTCCATGACAAGTTGAATTTATGTGACCCCTCTGCTTCTGCTCCTAGAAAACAAGGAAGTTGAAGGAATCCCATTTTCTTCTATCCCACCTTGTAGTCCATGGAATAACTTGCAATAAAACCCTCCCTTTTCCTATAGGACATGGACAACATCCATGCATTCCCCATTCTTTCTTTATGAAAAGATCATAACACAGAAACCATGCAAATGCCTACTCTTTGGCTCATAAATGACTAATTGAATTGCTTTTTACTGCTTCAGAATATAATCCATGATGTTAAACGAGGTAAGGAAGACTGTAATCAAGAGGAGGCCATCACTATAGGTGTGGAGTCCTATGAGGTGTTGCAGTGGGAGAGAGAGGTGGAACCCAAGCCTATGCGTGTGACCCTTTCTAGACAAAGAGCAAGGCAAGGGCAGTAGTTGGAGAATTACTAAAAGGAACATCAGGGTCAATGGGGATTCTAGCTGAAGGCAGGCCAGGGAGATGGGACATCATTTGGAAGATGGTGGAGGATGATGAAACTGATCAGACAATGAGGATGATCCGATATTGTTGATGGGGAGTTCTGCTGAAACTGGTGTAACAGGAATCTTCTTCCTAAAAGCAGATAGTGCAGCGGTAGACAAGAAGACCAAAATCTGAGCCTCACTGAACAGTGGATTCAGAAGGAGCCTAGTGCAGGTTGGTCAAGGAAAGAATATGGATCAAAGGGAGCAAAATGCTTGTAGACAAAATTTGGTTGGCTTCCCTCCTTCCCCCAAGCCCTTGAACTCAGGTCAATCTCAATTGGAAACAGCAGATAACTTCCACTATGCCCCCGTTAAGGGCCGCTACCAGAAAATAAGCTGGCCACAAGGTAAAACACTCTTTGACCTACCATCCAATCAAGACACTTTTAAAACCTTTCTTCTCCATAAAACAAAGCCTCTCTCTGGCTAATTCTTGAGACTTTTGCAGGTCTGTAGTCACAGTGTTTTTCCTATTGCAATAATCTCTCCTGTATAGGGCCTCCACCATCTGCCTAGCAATGATATTTTAAAAGAAAATCTGTCCTTTCTAAGTATGAATTTTTTTTGGTTACCTGTTATAAGTGTGGGTGAAATCAGACATGACCCCCTAATATCTACACAAAAATGTGGCCCTTTAAAGTTTCCCAGAGTGCTATCTGGGATGCCACATATGCTACCGGAATTTGGGGTGCCATATGATTTCACCATGAGCTTATTAATAAATCCCCGATATTAATAAGCCCAAGAGTGTTCTTACCTAATATTTAGAGGAGAATTCTAAATACTGGCACAGATAAACGAGGCAGCATAGTACATTTTAAGCTTTTATTTAGTGAGGAAGGTTCATAAGAGAGTGAGAGCTTTATTTAAGAGAGAGGTGAATGGGGGTTCATACCGAGCACCAGGAACCAGCCACGTGGATGAGTATCTAGGCCAGGAAGCCTAGGGCGCATGGCCCAAAGGCCATGAGCCCTGGAGGCACAGGGCTACAGCAAGCCCGCCTCCTGCCAGACACTCTGTGCCCCAGGCTTTTAATCTACTTCCAAAGGGGAGTGGATAATTAACCTGATTGACTGGTTGGCACCCAGGTCTGGCCAGGTAGGGGCATGAGGTCACACAGGGGCGTGGCGAAGGCTTGGTCTTCCAGTTCACAAATCTAATCAATTTTAGCCTGTATGCCTGCCTACTTCAAGGGGAAGTAGGGCAATTTTCTATAAAATAAACTAGAAAATATACATACTTTATTTTGCTTCCTCTTATAAGAGAAAAATATGTTTTCATGGCGAAGACAGTATCCACCTTTAAGTTTTGAGTTTGAAAGAAGGAAAATGCAAGATGGCTTCTCCATACAGAGTCGTGGTATTGCTCAGAGGGCTTCTAATGTTCTTTGGTTCTTATCACCTGCTTTTAAAGCATATGTGACATGACTCTTGGCTCAGCCTTGGAGGCTGGTCTCACCCTTCCCTTCTACCAGTGTCATGGGCATAGGTATTTTAATCTGTATTCTAGGTTCTTGTCCCACAGAGATAAGAATCCAAAGCACAAGCATCCACATAGTGCCCAAGTGAGAGAGAGCAGGATTTATTTAAAATAGAGACACAGTGAACATACATTCACGCATGAGTGTGGGCCCCTCCACATGGAAAGATGACATCATGAGTGGGCCAGAGAGTTGACCACGAGAAGTAAGGGGGAAAAGAGGAGGCCTGAGAAGGATCCCCAAGCATGGCAAGTAGCAAAATAAGGCATCTCGCCTGTTATTAGTCTATTTTATGTGGTGGTGGGGAGTGGCTTATGAGAATTTCTGGGATCTATATAGTCCCTAAACACGGAGTTTAACTACCATGTGGCCAGGAAGGCATCTCTTCCTTGCTGGTCCCCAGTGAGACACAGGTGCATCATGGGAAGGTGGACATATTAGATTGAGAAATGAAGGGATAAAGTTACAGTGGAGGACTGGTAAAAATTCCTGTTGTCCGGCGCATAACAAATCTTCCCAGGCAGATGAATCAATTAAATTCACAGGCTTTTTTGGGATTCTGCTCCCGGGCGAGGTTCACCAGTCCCAGCAGAGCGGGGGTCCAGGGAAGTCGCGTGTCAAAAGTTGAGAGGGCTCCTTTTATAGATTCAGGGGTTAAAGGTTGAGGCGGGTCTGATCCTCCTTGGTTGCCCTTTAGGCACCGTGGGGACCTTGACAAGGACTTTTCTTCCCCGGAAGTGCGGGTAGGGACTTTCTATTCCCGGAAGTATTATAGGCCTTCCCTCCTTGGGGATCCCAAAGCTACCACCTAGTAGTACCTAACTCCCTGCCTAATTTCACAAGGACTAAGACAAGAAATACACAGGGTGTTACTTAAAGCAACTGTCAATGAGTCTGCTGTTTAGGACAAACATTAAGAGTGTTAATTGTCACTGTGCACTAACTCCCCATGCAGGACCTCTGTCCTCAATGAGTTGTTATTATGGAAGTTAACTGTAAAACTAATTCTCAGTTTTTTGTGTGTGTGTATGTGTGCAAATTTTTGAAATGTTTGCTTAGTATAGAGTTGGTCTTCTGTGTGCAAAGTTCATTGAAAATGAATCTATGGAGAATGGGACTGGGAAGGGGAGAGGGAGGAGGAGGAGGAGTGGGAGTGTGGGTGGGAAGAATAACTATATTCCTAATCTTGTACTTATAAAATTTGTATTCCTTAAAAAATAAATTAATCAATTAAAAAAGAAGTACATAGGGACATTCCAGAAAAAAATCTGCCCAATAGGTAGTTACTGCAGATGTTTCCTGAAAATGTGAGGTATTATAGAGGATTCTAGTGTGGAGAAGCAGTTTAATAAAAAAATAGATATCAATTTTTAGAAGATTCTCTCTCCCATCTTGTTCCTCCTCTACATCCGTTTCATTTCTTTGAAGTGCACACTTCTGCTATGCAGAACAATTCAAGAGTTTCTTATCCCTACCACAGACTCAACTCTGGGAATCCCATACCTATGCAACTCATTAATGGTCCTGCTAATCTGAGATCTATTTACAGTAGAGTTAGTTCCTGTGGGGAGCAACTCGGACTAGACTAAGTTACTGGAATTAAGACTTATTCTATGCATCTGCTCTCCCACAATATGGTGCTGGGAGAGGAGCAAACAGCTTCTACCCAGCTGCCTTTCACCAACTTGACAAGCTGCAGGAGCTGCTCCTGATTGGAGGAGAGCAGCGTACTCGGCGTGTGGGTAGCAGAGTTGGGATTGGTGGAAGAGGACTATAAAGGAGGAGAGAGACAACATGCACCAGGAACATCTATCTGAAGGAACACCTGTGCAGCCCTGGAGCGAGCCGGCCGGCGGTGTGCTGCTCCCCCGCGGAAGTGGGGAAAGTGGCTAGGGGGAACCGCCCTTCCACGGAGGTGGAAGGGACGGCAGCCAACCTGGGAAGAACCAGCAGCAAACCCGGGGAGGGCCGAGCAGACAAAAGAACAGCGCAGGGTCCTGTGTCATTCCTCCACGAAGACGGGGAGCGACAGTTCCAACCTTTAGCAACAAAAAACACTGGAAAAATGCTTTGAAAGTACAGACTCCCAAACACATTAAGCAGTAAAGAGGCAGAATCGTTAAATAAGCTAGGGGCCATTGGCCTGAGGCTATCTTCATATTTTCAAGTTTCTATATGACAAGCTGCACCCTCTTTTTAGCACAGAAACTCAAACCTAACTTGGGAGAATGTTATTGTAGCAGAGCGCAGAGGCTCAGTCAATCATAAGCACCACCGTTCAGTCAATGACAGACTGATAGAACGATGCCAAGTAAGGCACTTGCTCTTTGAGAGAGAAAGCAAACTATTTATGCATTTTACCTCTACCTTCACACTACAAAAACTCACTGCTTTGTTGCCTCGGAGCCACTTCTGGATTTGAATGCTGCTAAATTTATGAATCTTTTCATGCATGTATAAACTCAGCTCAATCTATTTTGTCTACAGTTTTTCCTTCAGTGGTTTTTGGAATCAGAATTGATATCCAAAGGAGACTTTCCTCTTCCCCAACAATGAGTAACCAAGAAGCCCATTGTACTCAATGCTGAAACCAAGCCCTTATGGCCTGGGGGACTAGGCTGCCTCCGGCCTTCTCACCAGGAGTACCTCCTCCTGGGGTTGGCTGCCCTCATTCCTACCTGTACACTCACAATCCCACTTTAAATAAATCCTGCTCTCATTTTTGCACATTATTTATGCCTCTGCTTTGAATTCTTATCTCACATGGGACAAGGAGTTGGAATAAAAACAGGAGACACTTTCCTAAAATACTTACCCAGTGCCTTGAATTCAGGTGCTAAATACTACCAGATCCTACTCTACCATGGTCTCAGTCTCCTTCCTTCAAGTATTCCTTGCCCTGCTTTCATTAAAATTAACTCTGAGTTGAGGGTGTGGTGCAACCAGCCCTCCAGGATCCCTAATCCCCTGTGGATAGCATCTTGATGCTGGGCCTTGTCTTGAGGAGTTTCTTTCCCAGGAACTCCAGGCCTGTAGCAAAAAGTAGCCACCACCTCCACATTGCCCCCAGACTGACTGAAGGGCGCTTTGCCATTATCAAAATTCCCAGGGAATCAAAGCAAGGTCATGAGCACAACCTTAATTCCAGTCGCAAGCTCTCTCCTTCTCTCTACTACTCTCAGCCTGCTAACCTTTTAACTCACTTACCTTCCCACCTCATGATGAAAAGAAAGCAATACAGATGCCTTCTAAAATTAGGCCCTCAGAACAACTAACGCTGCTTCGTTAGCCTTCTTTAGGCCTTGGTCATTATTGAGTTCACCACAACAGTGAACATTTTCCCTTGCAAGGGAAAGCTTCCTCTGCTACCCCAGAAATTTTCTGAGGCATTTAGTACTTTCATTGGAAGGCAGGATCTGGGACTTCCTGATCTTTGAAGCCAGATTAGACTCCAATATATGCCTGTCTGCCCTAAGAAATATTTGCAGCTACTTATTTTAAGAAGCTTTTGAAAGACCAAATTTACATCTATAAAAGAAATTTCCATTTGTAAGGCTGCTTGCCCCTCTGCACCAGGAAAGCAGGACAAAATTACTACAAATATTCCTAAGGAGCTGATGGGCTAAAATCTGTAGGACATGCCTTGCCTTTGTTTAAGGTGTTTTCCCTGTCTGTAAGCTGGACTTTTACCTGCACATTTATTTCTTTATTTTGGAAAGTAATGGTTTTTAAGTCTGGAATCTAAGTTCTATGTATTTGAGATGTGAATTTTCTATGGTCTCCCACCTAAGGCCATCAATTTGAAAATGCAAATTTGAGGGAGATGACTCATCACAAGAGAGGAAGAGAACTATTTGGAAAGGAGCAAGCAATAATCTCAGTATTTTTCAGAAATCTTAGTGTTAGTCATCTTGTTCCTGAAAACCAAAATAATGGGGACAAAGTCTGAGGGTAAAGAAAAGACATATGAGGGTTAGCAGACCCTCCAGTCTCCAGATCTACCACCGTCCTGAATAAGGGTGCTCTGGGATGTTTAGGAGGCCACAGGGAAGCAGAATTCAGGAATAAGGGAATAAAGGACAGACGCAGCAGCCTGTTGGCCGCTGGCCAGGTGATAAGGGGCTAGTTGGAGCTGCAGTGCATATCCAGTCCAGTTACAAGGTCAGCTCAGGTCCAAGTTCTTCAGTGGTCAGCAATGCCATACTCTTCAGGGATTTTGATAATGGCAAAGTGGGCTTCAGGGCTTTCTGTCTTGCACCCAGAATTCTCCTATAGAACATTGTTCAAGACAATGCTGTCCACAAGTGTCATGAGTCCAGCGATTAGAACCCTGTAGAGCCATCTCCACCACTCTCTCGATTCAGTGAGTTAAGCTAAGAGAGACTGGCTGGGAGACTGGGGCCTGAGGTTTTTCATTCAAGGCACTGTTTGGGAGCTTGCTTTTAACCTAGAAAGGTTATTTTTTTTCTTTTGTCCAGAAACACAGTTCAGATCTAACTATTCTTCTAGAAACTAGCAGGTTTTGTATTATTATACATGGCCCCTGATTAACAATTTAAAATGGAAGTGATATGATCTTTGTCTCTGTGTGTACGTCTATAGATGTCTGTGTATGTTTCTGTATGTCTATATCGGCATGTATGTTATTTATAGCTTGCCTACCATCTGTGTGGGTTCCAGGTCCTTGGATTTAAGGAACTGTGGGTCCAAAATATTTTTTTTAAAAAGATGCATATCTACTGACCATACATACATATATTTTTCCTTTGTAATTATTTCCTAAATAACACAGTGTAACAAGTATAAGTGTACTTCAAACATAGAATTACAAACAATAGAATTAAAAGCGATAATAGACTTCTCCATTCAGCTCTGTTTTCTCAGGTAGCTACTGAAAGCATGTCAGTGAGAGCAGGTACACTCAACTGGTCTTCCCATTCATGTTCAGACGATTACTGTTGTAAGAACTCTCCATTCAACTCTGAGAAAGAGAACATTCATTGCTCATTATAGGTCTGTAGGAGAAGTGGCAGATCACAGTGAAGCCCAAAGCAACCTCTCCATTTAGAAAGAGATTTGTAAATTTTTGGAGTTAGGCTAATTGGGGGCAAACTGGACAAAGCAGTGACAGAACATGACAGGTACAGAGGAAAGGGATTGGGGGTGTTCTTTGAATAGGTATTGGCAAGTGACAATTATGGGCTATTAGTATGTTAGACAGCCCCTGAAGCTTACCATGAAGCATGGAGAGAGGGGGTCCTCTGTTGTCTCTAGTTTCAACAGTATTAGATTTCAACAGTATTGTGTGAGAACAAGCTGTCCCTAAATTGCCTGTTAAGTATTCAAAAGAAACATCTAGTGAGCATTATCTGAGAAGTGGTGGAACACTTTTATTTATTTATTTTGTTAACTATCAGGTCAGTTTGACACAGGGGACATGCACAAAGGTATGTTTTGTCTTAGCCACCTGCAGCAAACTGGATGACTCCTTTGCTCTGTTTTTCTACCTCATCATGCATCCCTAAAAATGTCCTCCTTAAAGACAACGAGCACCCTTCTTGTCAGCAGCCTCTTTTCAGAGACAAAACCCTCGTGTCTCTGACAGTGCTTGTAGACAATCATATCCTAAAGGAAGTAATCTCTAACCATTGAGAAATTTTCCCCTGGTAACCCAAAGCTACTTTTCAAGCCAAACCAAAGTATGCACATTGTGTATTGAAATTTGGATGGGAATTTGACCTCTTTGGAATACTTCCAAAGACTCATTGTAAGTTGTTGGGCTTGGGTTTCCCACGAATAGGTCACTCACGTTCTACCCTGAATAAACCTCATATTAAACTTTTTTTCAGATCCTGTTTGTTTCCATCGACACTGTCCTGATTGATTCTGAGTCCCTCTAATCAGAACTTGATTTGCCAGCATTTTTACATACAAGCCCCTTCCGACCTAATCCATAAAATCTTTCCCCAGGCCCCTTATCAGACTCCTTACCTGATCTCCTTGTAATAGCTTTCTCTCTGCAAAATAACCTGGATTTGGTGATTGGTCTTCCAGCCTACAAATACAAATACACCAAAAGACAAAAGACAAAAAATACACCAAATGCCTTTGGTAACACAATGGCACTGCTGGCAGAACAGGAAGTCCTTCCTAAATGTTTGCCAGTGGTACACCAGCCCCAGTCAGAGAGCTGGACACAGCCTGTGAATAAAGCAGCTGCCAAGCCTGTAGCTCCGTGATTCTCCAAGGCTTTCACCTCTGGTACAGTGGTATTTCTCTCTGTGTCTCTGTCTCTGTCTCTGTCTCTGTCCCTCCCTCCTTCCCTCCCTCCTTCCCTCCCTCCCTACCTCCCTCTCTTTTGTTTGCAGTAGAAAATGTCTCCAGGTGAGTAATCTCAAAAGGCCACTTTATCTCCCTCCTTGACTTTGTATGCCCCTATGTGGGTCCTGTCTAACCCTCTATGGGTTCTGTTGGGGTAAATCCCCAATCTCACTATTTGAGGCAGGACTGGGTTTCACGGTGGTGAGAACACTTGCTGAGTCCTTCCAGGACCCTGGTTCTACTGTACTCCGACCTTTGGTGCCTGTTCTTTGTTTAGCATCTGCTACGATTTGTGCTGTGTTAAGTTGTGTACTTTTTATGGAATCATAAAAGAAAATTCTAAGAGCGCTTAACTGACTTCATAGCCCCTCCTCTCTCATCATGGCCCCAGCTGCACGGCCTTAGGTAGCTCCTCTGTTTCACTGTCTGCTACGTGGCAGGGTGGAGCCAATGGTGGAAGCCTGGCCTAGTTTTCCATTAATGGATGATGTAGAACAACAAAGTTAGGTAAGATTTGATGTGTACGTGTGTGTGTTATATGTGTTGCATTAGTTACATATAATATTTACATGATAAAATACCATAAAGAATTGTATTTTGAATTGACTTACACATCAATGAGTGCTCACATAAATTAAAATTGCTAAATTAGTCCAAATGCCTTTTGGTTCATGTGACTTAAGTAAATCTTTGACAAATAAATTTGTAAATTTGTTGGTAAAAAGAAAGTTAAGGTTTTTTTTTTTTTTAATGATCATTAACATCCATTTGTGTCTGGGGTTGATGACCTAGAAAAAGGATGCTTATCAAAGCTGTTAGATATTTAAAATCATAAAAGCATAATTTTAATCTAAATATAAATGACGGGGATGAAAGAGCAATGTGGTTGGTGTTCACTGTTTCCTGGGAATCAAGTACCACAATTCAGCTTTGGGGATTTTCTTTTGACAGGGACAGATCCTGGGTTTTGGTCGCTAGACAACATTGCTCCTGGCTTGGCCAGCTCAGATAAATTCCTTTACCTCACAGCTCAAATCATTGTCTCCCTGTTTCCATTGGCATGTGTGCTAAACAAGAACTCTTGGGTTTTCTGCCTCATTATAAACACACGATGGATGCTGGTGTAGGTGGCATTGTTCCACCTCTGGGTGGTACTGCCAAAGTTAATTGGTTAAAATTAGAGCCCTCTATTTAGTTGGCTTCAAAGAAAATATATGCACATATAAACTAACTATCCTTTAAACTGTTAAAGTGATGGAAACTGAACTAAAATATTTCAAGTTTACATGATCTGTGATAATCTTCAGTTAATAAAAACTAGTGAAATTCTGTTTAATCAGAACAGGTCTATATTCAGAGTTTTGGACATCAAAAATGCACACACACAATTTTTAATTTATATCTGGGTTGATTAGTTATGTAGGTTTATGCCATCTTTTTTTGAGGTTTAAAAATACCGAACTATACATTCTACCTAAGAATAAATGTTGTTAGAAGAAATACACTTATTCATGTATGTCAAGCACATTTTAAAACTAAGTCAAACAAAAGGATTCATATACAGGGTTGTATAATAATTGGAAAATATATGTTGTAAAAAATCTATGAATATTTTTCCAATTTTTTGCACCAAAATAAATTTATCTTTTAATTATATTTTTTACAAAATCTAATTACTTAACATACAAATAAGGTAAAAATGGCTAAAAGATAAATAAATTGATCATTAGCCTTTTTTGGTGTGTTAACACGTATACTTTAAAAAAAGTACAAAAGTGAAAAATGAGCTACATAATTTTCTGTAGCCTTTGAAGGTCTGTCTTTGATTATCACTTTGGTTACATGAATAGTGTTATTTAAAAGTGATTTGTGATGCCATTTTAATCAAGTGCTTTGAACTTTTGATATTGATAAACTTCCCCAAATCGAGACATAAGTTAAATCTTTTGACCTCAAACTGGTATAGGGAGCTTGCAGATAGATCCCTGATTTATAAAAATAGAGGCAGAAGGAGATTAAAATAATTCAGCATATTTGATATGTTAAAGTGCATGGAAACCATTGTCAAATAACATGTAATACTGAAACTTCTTTAATTCACATTGTATGGATACATTGTTAATGTACTTTATATATTACATGAAATTCCTAGAAATCTGATGGTTCTAATATAACCCATCAGTCATAATTATAGTTGTTATCTTAAATATTGTCTGTCACAGAAATAATGAAATTTCTTTGTCAATTGCCTTATAATGATCTCTCGTCAAACCTTTAATTATGGCCATTTTAAGTCTTGTCATCCATAGACAGTTAATTATTTTACTCTGATACTTGCATGAAAGCTATTGCAAGCAATTATAACCGAAAGTGTTTCATCTTATGAAAGACTCAAGGAAAGAATTCTCATAAGTATAGGTTTCTGATAACTTTAAGATCAAACCATGGCACTAAGGATTCCAAAACTCTAATGACTAAACTGACTGACTTACAAAACCATTATCAAGCAAAACATGAACTAACTGAATACCCAGAAAATTCTGTGGTAAATTTCATGTTTAGTACAGCTGGTACTGAAATGTGATGATAGGCAGTCACAAATGAAATCCATACATGGTGCCCTTTTGCATCACTATCATTCAATATAATTCTGGAAGTTTTAGTCAGATCCATTAGTCAGAAAAATAATCAAAGGCATACAAATTAGAAAAAAGATGACAAAAATATTCCTATTTTCAGATAACATAATTCTTTATTTGAGGAGTCAAAAACTCCACTATTAGAATTCATAAACAAAATTTGATAAAATTTTAGGATATAAAATCAACTTACAAAAATCAGTAACATTCTTATACACTTACAGTGCTCTGGTGGACAAAGAAGTTACAAGTTCAGTCTCATTCACAGTCATTACAAAGCAATTAAATACCTCGGGATCAATTTAGCAAAGGATGTGAAAGCTCTCCACAACTGAAATTACAAAATGTTAATGAAAATTATAAAAGAGACACAACAAAATAGAAACATTTTCCATGATCATGGATTGTAAGAATCAGCTTTATCAAAATGTCCATACTACCCAAAGCAATTTGCAGATTCAATGTGGTTCCAATCAAAACACAAAGGAAATTCTTCAAATATGTAGAAAAAAATACTAATGTTCATATGGAAACAGAAAACACCCTGGAAAACAAAAGCAATTCTAAAAAATTTAAACAAAGCCAAAGGCATCACAATACCAAATTTTAAAGCATAGTATAGGGCTGTTATAATCAAAACAGCCTGGTTCTGGCACAAATTAGACATTTAAACCAATGCAACAGAGTAGAAACCCCAGAAAATAACCTACCACAACCAACTAATCTTTAATAAATGAGCTAAAATCATTCTCTGGAGAAAGGACAGTCTCTTCAACAAGTGTTATGAAATGATGAACTTCCACACACAAAAGTATGAAACAAGACCCATACTTTATAGCCTATACAAGAATCAATTCACAATGGATCAAGGATCTAAACCTAAGACCTAAAACCACTAAATTACTGGAGGGAAGCATGGGAAAAATGCTCTAAGACACTGGTGTAGGCAAAGACTTCTTGGATAAAACACCAGAAACGGAGGCAATAAAAGTAACAATAGATAACTGGGATTACATCAAGCTAAGAAGATTCTGCACAGGAAAGGAAACAAGCAACAAAGTGAAGAAGTAACAGATAGAAAGACAATATTCACAAACATCCAATAAAGGGTTAATATCCAAACTATACAAGAACCTCAAGGAACTCAACAACAACAAAAAGCAATCAAGTCAATAAATGGGAAAAAGATATGAACAGTCATTTTTCAAAGGAGGAAATCCAAATGGCCAACAGACACATGAAAAAATGCTGAGGATCACTAGCCATCAGGGAAATGCAAATATAAACCACACCTCACCTTAGTAAGAAGGGTTGTCATTGAAAAAAATTAATAACAATTGCTGGCAAGGATGTAGTGAACAAGGTAACCTAATGCACTGCTAGTGGAAAATAGCTAGTACAATTATTATGTAAGAATAGTATGGTGGCCAGCGCTGCGGCTCACTAGGCTAATCCTCCACCTTGCAGCATCGGCACACCAGTTCTAGTCCCAGTCGGGGCACCAGATTCTGTCCCGGTTGCCCCTCTTCCAGGCCAGCTCTCTGCTGTGGCCCGGGAGTGCAGTGGAGGATGGCCCAGGTGCTTGGGCCCTGCACCCGATGGGAGACCAGAAGCACCTGGCTCCTGCCTTCGGATCAGCGTGGTGCACGGGCCGCGGCGGCCATTGGAGGGTGAACCAATGGCAAAGGAAGACCTTTCTCTCTGTCTCTCTCTCTCACTGTCCACTCTGCCTGTCAAAAGAAGAAGAAGAAGAAGAAGAAGAAGAAGAAGAAGAAGAAGAAGAAGAAGAAGAAGAAGAAGAAGAAGAAGAAGAAGAATAGTATGGTGATCCCTTCTAAAACTGAAAAAAAAAAACACCAGATCTACCATATGACCCAGCCAACACACTCTTGGAAATATATCCAAAGAAAATGGAAGCAGCATATTGAAGAGTGACCTGAAATCCCATGTTTATTGCAGCTCGATTCACAATAGCTAAGATATGGAACCAACTTAGATGTCCATCTAATTGGGTAAAGAAAATGTGGTATATATACATGATGGAACGCTACTCAGCTGTAAAAGAATGAAATCCTGACATTTAAAGTGAAATGGATGCAACTGGAGACCATTATTCTAAGTGAAATAAGTCTTACCCTAAAAGAAAAATACCACATGCATTCTTGTTTTTAATAGTGAATATAGAGAGTATAAATACTATGTGGATGTCGTATAATTTGATATATAGTTATAAATTGTGTTTCACTGAATCATACCACATACATGATGATACACTTTCACATGTTCAAAACAATAGAAATGTGGAGAATAGTTAGAACTCTCGAGGTATCATTAACCCTTTCTTAGTTTGAGTGCTGGATATGAGTGTGATTGGATGGCAAAAACTCATTCATTTGTACACTTATGTGCATTTCTTGGTATGTATATTGTACTTTGATAAAATGCTTAAAAATTAAAGGGCTTACTTTCCATAATTCATCACAGAACAAAGTGATACAAATAACTAGTTTAGTGACACTGTAAAATTGATAAAAATGGTTATAATTAATGTTTTGTTTGTCAAACATATAATTCTAGCAAGATAATTGGAACTGCAGATGGTATATTTTTGCTACATGATCTATGATTTGAGCATTTACAGATGGGTTTCATTCAATTTTCATCTTCAATGGGTTTAACACAGTCTTTTAATAGTTTGTAGGTTCTCCAGCTGGAAAACTTGTGCTAGGACAATGGTTACCAAATTAATAACAAAGGTATTTCATTTGTGGGACATTGCTAGAGAAATCTTCACTATTGGCAAGCTATTTTATGGACAAGTTATAAAGCAGTTAGGTAAGGTGTTACAAACATAATAATGATATTATCATTATCCCGGTTACTCTCACTCTTCTGTAAATGTCAAATGGACAAATGGCATTTAAAAACTAAAATTGACAAAGTTAATTGAATTGATTGTATTGGTTTGGCCAAAGGTATTCCTATAGGCCCTGATGGCAATTAGATCCACTCCCATTGGGAAATATAGATTTACTCCTTATGAAACATGTTATTGGAAGGCTTATGGACTAAGAACATATTATCATGTTATACAGTTCTTGGCTTCAGCCTGCCCCAGCCCTCGCCATTGCAGCTATTTGGGGAGTGAACCAAGATGATTTCTCTCTCGTTCTCTCTCTCTTTTATTCTCTCTCTTTTTCAAGTAAATAGAACAATTCTTTTTAAAACCATCATTTAATTTGATTTTCCATGAACTTTTTAAGCATTCATATTTTTCAGTCTTATAAATTCTGATAAAAAGTTTCTTACCAACCCTACCTCATTAAAACTTCAATACTTGGGAACTTGATCACATACATCTCAAGAAAGCAGATCCAGACTCTTGAAAATGTACGCTGTTGAAGTCATAAGGTGCAGCTGACCAGGTAAGTCTTTCCCAGAAGTAGATGGAATGATGAATGTGTACAACGTTCCAAAGATCAACAACCAAGTCTTCCCTTCTCTGCCATCATGAAAAACTTCTCATTGTTCTTTTGTTTCTTGCTGTCACAATCCTGTCACTTACTTTCTTACACTCACTGAAAGTCATATCCCTACCTTTTAAGCTGATAACAAAACTCTAACCAAATCCTATCTGGATGATGCTTGTGGAAAGTCTATTATGCTTCCCAGTATCAGGAACCCAAAACCTGGGGGCTGTCTAAGTGAGGTCAAGTAATTGCTTGTACAATATAACTGGGTTAATTCTGCATGGTCCCTTTTCACAACATGTGGTTGTACACCCTTACAGCCTGCCACAGAAAAGTCAATTTCTTCCCAGACCTTGTTTCAAGAAGTGTGCTAAGAAATAGGCTGACAGATTTAACTGATCTAAGCTCAAATGCTATTATGTAGCCCTCTTTTCCATTCCCTGAGGATCCATATTGGATCTGAGGAGAGTTTGCCTGCTTTGTTCTGCTTCCCCACTAGTTTGGATCTTATTTTCTAGCTTGATTCCCTCCTGCCTTCTGAATTGCTTCTCCTATTGGTCTATACAATACTTGCTATAAATAGAAGCCAAAATGACCATCAGTAGAAATTAGCATTAACCCTGAAACAGATAAAAATAAGCTAATGTCAGCTGGAGAAAAACTCCAAATGAAGGCTCACTCTTGGTGGTAATGAGGTGCCAACTGTGTGGAATTTGAAACTAATGCATAAATTGAGAGAAAGTCAGACTTTTTGACTAACTGGAATTCCTAGGGTTTTGTATAGGTAGAAGTCACCCTCCAGAAGGTGTATGACAGCATATGTGTTCAACAAAAGTAGTTACTGAATATTATCAGGCATCTTTAGATTTCCTAGGGACTTGCATATGGCACTGAACAAATCTAAATGCACGTATCTTTCCACTTATTATGCTATTGTTTAAAGTTTAATTCAAAAGGTGGTAATACCACTTTTTCTTTAGGCATTGCCAACAAATGCATTGAAGAAATTCTTTTTGGAAAAGGAGTACACAATGTATTTGTGATACTGGATGACAGTTTGAAGGCATTCTAAGTGGTGGCTAACTTGCCCCCAAGTTTTCTAAGCTTAAGACTTCCTCAAGTAGGTGTCTAGGTCACTATGCTTGTGTTTCCAAGCTGATGACAAACACGGTTGCCTCTTTGGCTGGGCATTTGGTGCAGCTGTTAAGATGCTTCTTGGGTTCTCTGCATTCTATGTCACAGTGACTGGGCTGCAATCCCAGCTCTGTTTCTGACCCCAACTTCTCCCTATGCAGACCCCGGAAGGAAGTAGGTGATGGCTCAAGTGGTTGAGTCCCGGCCACTGGATAGAGTTCCAGAATTAGCCCTGGCTGTTGTGGAAATTTGGGGAGTAAACCACCAGATGGAAGATTTCTCTGTGTGTGTCTTTCTCTCTGCCTTTCAAACAAACAATTTAAGAAAAGATTCCTAGGCAAATCAGATCATTCTACAGTGGATAATAATCCTTAATCACCACAAATTCCTAAAGATTGTGACCAACCAGACTCAAATACTGTTGAACTACTTACATAGCCAGAGATTTGATTTTTTTCAATTTGATCAGTTGAGCTCCGTTGCGTTCTTGTGAAGCATTGCACTGTAATCTCCTGGAATCACCTTCCTGCTAATCATCACAGTCATCTCTCTGGTCAACTCTGTCCCCTCAAGAGTCTTAAAGATTTGTGTGCCACCATCCAGTGTACATTAGTCTCACTTTGACTAGAATGGAAAAAACAGGAGTCATGCAACTGACCTAACCTCAGGACTTGTGACCAAATGAGTCCATTATGATGATGACAGGGAGTGTTACCAAGCTCCAAGCTTCTGAACACTGCCATTGGACAGAGTGCCCAGTGCTTTGACATTCTACATATTGGACTGCAACCTAATTTAGGAAGCTAACAAACCAAAGTCTAACTTAGAAGTGCTTTAAAAAAAAAAACAGAGAGAAGAGTATTGGACGATTACAGGCTTCACACACAGGCAGCCAATGATCATGCTATTAGTCTAAATAAGACAAATACCTAGTGATAACTAATCAAGCTGTTTCTCTATTCTATTTAGACTACAAAAACTTACTACCAATAATGTGGAATAGAGTTCCTCATTCCTCTGCAGGTTTTGTATGCTGCATCATTCACTAATCCTTTAACAATCAAACTACTCAATTGGTCTATATTTTTCTTTTAATATAGAACTCATTCACTTCCCTTTCATATAGATAAACACAATTATTGGTGTAATATGCGTTATTTCAATGAATTATTTCACATATTTGCAATTTCCTTTTTCTTAATTTTTAATTAAAATCATTCTGCTTATTTGACTGTATATATTTTTTACAAATTTATCTCAAATTTGAAATAAATTAATTTAAGCTGAAGTAGGGAATAGTAATTTTCCAATGGTTAATTACACCTTGTATTTCCTGTTTTTTGAGTTTGAATATTAATTTTTTATTTGACAGACAGAGTTAGACTGTGAGAGAGAGAAACAGAGAGAAAGGTCTTCCTTCAATTGGTTCACCCCCGCAAATGGCCACTATGGCCGGTGCTGCGTTGATCCGAAGCCAGGAGCCAGGTGCTTCCTCCTGGTCTCCCATGCTGGTGCAGGGCCCAAGCACTTGGGCCATCCTCCACTGCCTTTTTGGGCCACAGCAGAGAGCTGGACTGGAAGAGGAGCAACCGGGACAGAACTGGCGCCCCAACTGGGACTAGAACTTGGGACCTATATGCGATGCCCGTGCAGCAGGCGGAGAATTAACCAAGTGAGCCATGGCACCGGGCCTGATACCTTGTATTTCCAAAGTAGATTTTCCATTTTTTTCTTCACTGAATTTGACTTTTCCAGGGTCTGTTGGAAAAGGGATGCCTCCTGATTCAGGTGAGTTCCTGGGGGTAGTCAGGCTGAAAGGACCATGGGAACATAGAGGAGCTCTAGCATTGCTAAAAGAAGATTCTCGTTTTCTTATCCCACAGACTCCATTCTCAACCTGTGCGAAGTTTTGGCTGTGTTCCTCTTCGACAGCTATCGGATTCTGCTTACAATCACCTGATCTTGCGTCTCACAGATACTTTCTCCCCTGAACTGAACCAGAACATCTTCATGCGCCCTCTCCTTATGCCATTCTTCCTTCCTACAGAGCTTCCTTTAATTCATTTTCTCTCTAGTTCCAAAACTTACGTTCCATAAATTAATGTGTTTCTAACATTTAAATCCAAGGATCAAATCATAGTATTTTTTCTTTTAAGTCTTTTTAAGCAATTTTCATTTTCCTTTTAGCTCTGCCTGTTTTCTTTGTGGTTATATTATACTGATATTACATACATATGGCATCTTAGATATACATGGAACATCCCTAAATTATAATTCTCCCTATGCAGAGAACCCTGAACTACAATGTAATGTGCATGTAGAAGGTAGTACTTCTGACTCAGGCTATGGATTACAAAATAGATTTATTATTTCTGGAGTCTTTACATTATATACCCAGATATACTTCTTTTTTTTTTTTTTTTTTTTTTTTTGAGAGACGAGAAGAGCTTTCTTTTTTTTTTATTTTATTTTATTTTTTTTATTGTCTATTTTATTTTATTTTTTTAGCTTTTATTTAATGAATATACGTTTCCAAAGTACGAATAATGGATTACTATGGCTTCCCCCCCATACCGTCCCTCCCACCCACAACCCTCCCCTTTCCCACTCCCTCTCCCCAGATATACTTCTTTGTTTTCTAATTAGTGAGTTTTAGATATATTTGTCAGGTATTTGTTAAACCTAACAGAAAGCCCAGATATATGATTTATGTCATATGACTTATTATCTAATTGTAATAGTATTTCCTTTTAATTTATAGCAGCATCCCTCCACCTCCCTCCATTCAGATAAATTAGATAATCCTATAGCATTCATCTGTAAAATTTGCTTAAGAAATTTCTTAGCACTAGTTTTCTCTCTACTCTCCAATAAAATTGTTATATTTAAAAATAAAAATTGTGTTTTTTTCAGATAACCAAATATATGAATTTCTTTTGCTATCTCTATTTTCTTGAACTAGACACTCTCCAACTTTATTATATTATTTTGCAAAAACCAAATGGAAAATAAATGAATATGGCATTATAATAAAACTGTGCTTGTATTGTTCTTATGGGTAATAATCTTTATTCACAGTTTGGCTGTGAAAACTTATCTTGCCACTCTGCAGAGAAAAATGATAGGAAACAGTAGATAAGATGTGTTTCTAGAGATAAATCTTCCTTATTCTCAAGCATTTGCCCCTCTCCAATGTCTGTCTCTGAATTGATCACTTCATAGCTCATCATCACTTCATAACTCATCTGTGAGAGGCATCACAAGAAACTTAATTGCTCAAAATGTGAATGATACTAATGGAAAGGAAAAGAGGAGGCTGTGTTCAAGCCATTAAGTCTTCAAAAAGCAGCAGATGCTGCCAGCAAAAAAATACTCTAGAGACACATTTGACAGTTGTGCTCAGATCACAAGGAGGTTCCTCTGAATCAATTTTGCAGAGTCCTCATATAAATTGTAGAGAGATTGCATATTAACAAGTGGGGTTGACATTCGGCAGAACAGGGACAATAATGTTCCATCTTTACAATCTTAATTTACTGATGTGAGCAGAGCTGATTCCTGTATAAGATGTCTCACCCTTATCAAATCTTCACACTCCACATGAACCCAGTTGCCATGACTTGCACCACTTTCTCTACCCTATCAACCCCTTACATCTCTGGCGATCTTACTACTCCAAGTGCTCAGTGAAGTGAGAACAAGAGGGGAAGACTGTACATGTGACAGTAGTGTATTCCCAGCTAAGTCCAGATCTGTGGCAAAAGATAGAACTGGAGAAAGGAATAATGGAACTGAATGCCAACACAGTCAAGAATCAGGATGATAATGTGTATGCTGATGGGGTTCAGGAGAGCTGCCACAAATACTCACACTGACAACTGAGGAACTGCCAGAAGCAGAAAGCTCTCTGACCTTCTCCCATCATTCTCCCCAGTAGAAATGAATTTTCAGAAAAGAATTTTCCAGTGTTCCTCTACAATGGGTCTTTAATCCCTCATGGACTCTTCCTATCCCTAGAATAAAGGAACAAAGACAAGGAGATGCAAAGAATAATCTGAATAAACAGGATTTGATAATCCCCCCTTAATTATTTTTTGTTTTTGATTTGTTGTATTTTAAATGTAATTCTTTAGTTGAAAGGCAGAGACAGAGAGAGACAGAGATCATTCATTAGCTGGTTTACCCTCCAAATGCCTGTAATGGCTGTGGCAGGGCCAGACCAAAGCCAAGACACCAGAAATCAATCTGGTTCTCCTATATGGATGGCAGGAACCCAAGTACTTAAACCATCACCACTGCCTTCCAGTGTCCACATCAGCAGGAAGCTGGAAGTGGAGTCAAAGGCTGCTATGGACCCCAGGCAGTTGGATACGGGATGGGTCATTCTAAGCATCTTCTCAACTCCTGGGTCACATGTCTGCCTTCCTCAATTTGTTACCATTAAGTCATACCCTTTAGTCTTCCAATATTATTTCTGCATGACTACCCATAAAAACCAAGAGATTTTAAGTGTCTTTGGGTCTTCATTTATGATGGCTCCATGTCATATCAAACTTAAATAAAGTTACGTGTTAGTCCTTGTTAATATGACATGTGTTATACTTGGTCATAAATCTTGTGATGGAAGAGAAATGTCTACTTCTCTGCATTTCCAACTTGTATTAGAGAACAACCTGCTTTAGTAGATCTGAGTTAGTAGAAGGGACTTCCAATAATGTTCGCGATTTTCTAATTATGAAGGCACTTTAAAAATTTTAAAGAAAAAATAATTTAGAAATGAACTTATTTTTTTACAAAAGTATTTGAAAACCAAGTCTAAGTTCCTCATAATACATATTTGCCATGAATTTTTGAAGCTCCCTTGCATCATCACATTGAAAATGAAACATGAACTCTACACAAAAGAAGCAAATTATAATTATTTTCCTAAAATATTCATTGCAGCCTTTTGTTCAGTGCTGTATTAAATGCTGAGGACTTTGTAATGAACAGAATTGCCAAAAATCTCTATCTCTTTGGTACTTATTTATATCTGGGTGTGGGTTAGGTGCACATAAGTGCATGTCTGTCTGTTTATCTGTGTATCTATCATCCGTCTACCTATATCTGTATCTATCAACTCCATCTTTCTAGTATCTACCTATCATCTCTGATGAGTACTATTCAAAAAGTCAACCAAGCATAGAATGAGAAAGTGTGGAAATGTGAAGGATTATGGCTGGATCTCATTTCTAAATGGGCCTTGAAATTGATCTCACTGAGTTGGTTACATCTCAATGAAGGCAGTGAGGAAGTGAGTCAGAGCCATAGCTGAGGAAAGACCACTCCAACTATAAGAAATAGGAGGCTCAAAGGCCTTGAAGTGTAAGAACAGCTGGTATATTCCAAAAGTCACAGAAAACAGCATAGATGAAACTATGATTTC